CCAGCGGGTAAAGTGAAATCGCAGAAGAGGGAGAGACAGAAGCCCAGTGGTGGTCAATGGTAACTTTGCTTCCTTCCTTCTTCCTCTCTCTTGGTGTTTCTGTGTCTCTGTGTCTCTGTCTGTCTGTCTGTCTCTGTGCTGTGGCTCAAATCAGGATCTGTCACGTAATAGGCAAACGCTGCACCGCAGAGCTGCCCCCAGCAGCAGCGGCACCCCTGCTGCCCCCCCTCCAGCTGTCAGTGCTCATCTGAGGAGGATGAGTTCTACGGGGCTCCAGAGAGCTTCCAGTCCTCCTCACCGCATTCCTCAGGCCCGCCTGACTCTCTCCTCCTCTCCCACTCAGACAAAGAGTAGGATAAACAGCAACCTGAGTCATCAATGAGAATTCCCTGTCTCCCAGGGAACAGCGAGTCCATGAACTTCCATGCTGGAAATAAGAGGTGGCTCACACTTCTAACCCTAGCTATTCAAGGGGCTGAGATCTGAAGATTCTGGTTCAAAGCTAGTTTGAACAGGAAAATCCATGAGACTCTTATCTCCAAGTAACTACCAAAAAGCCAAAAGTGGGACTGTGACTCAAGTGGTATAGTACTAGCCTTGAGCAGAAAGGGCTCAGGGACAGGACCCAAGCCCCAGGAACAATACAAAAAGAAACAATTGTTTAAAAGCTGGGTACTGGCTGGGCTTTAGTGATTCATGCTTATACTCAGGAGGCTGAGATCTGAGGATCGCAGTTCAAAGCCAGCCTGGGCAGGAAAGTCCAGGAGACTCTTATCTCCAATAAACTACTCAAAAAAGTGGGAAGTAGTGCTGTGGCTCAAGAGGTAGAACATTAGCCATGAGCAAAAACAAAGTTAGAGATAGCACCCAATCCCAGAATTCAAGCCCCAGAAATGGGGGGGGGGGGGGAAGAAAGTTGGGCACTGGTGTCTCATGCCTTAATTCTAGCCACTTAGGAGGCTGAGATATGAAGATTGAAGTTCAAAGCCACACTAGGCACTAAAGTCTGTGAAACTCTTATCTCCAATCAACCACCAAAACGTCAGAAGCAGAAGTAAGCTCTGGCTCAAATGGTAGAGTGCCAGTCTTGAGCAAAAAAGCTCAAGGACAATGCCCTGGCCCAAAGTTCAAGTCCAAGGAGGTGGGGGTAAGATCGACCCCCTGCCTTGAAGGGAGTACTGGTCAGAATTCAACCTCAGTGGGGCTGGGAAGGTGGCTCAGTGGTAGGGTGCTTGCCTTGCATGCCTAAGGCCCTGGGTTCAATTCCTCAGCACCACATAAGCAAAAAGAAAAAAAAAAGCCAGAAGTGGCGCTGTGGCTCAAGTGGTAGAGCGCTAGCCTTGAGCTGAAGAGCTGAGGGACAGTGCCCAGGCCCAGAGTTCAGGCCCCACGACCGGACCAAAAAAAAAGAATTCAACCTCAGTGTAAAGCAATCTCATTTCTAGAAGCAGAGCCCCTCTGACGTTGGGGGCCCTGCTTGATAAGGCTGTGTGCCAGTAAAAGATGACTCATGGGCCAGTCTGACCTGGTGTCAGACCAGAGGCGCTCACCCACCTGTGGCGAATTACAGCCAAAGCCCAACACATTTACCACAATTACCTGTGGCATGAGAATACATCACACCTGTCATCAGACGTGCCTGCATCCACGGCTGGCCTCTACTTTCTTCCTGTCTTTGCTTTACTTTGTCAGTGAACTTTCTTGATCTCTGCCTCCTTGTGTCCTCAAATTCTTTTTTTTTTTTGGTTAGTTGTGGGGCTTGAACACGGGAGCTGGGCATTGTTTCTGAGCTTTTTCACTTAGGGCTAGTGTTCTACCATTTTGTGTCACAGCACTACTTCCAGGTTTTTTGTTTGTTTTTGTTTGTTTGTTTGGTCGTGGGGCTGGAACTCTGGGCCTGGGCGCTGTCCCTCAGCTCTTCAGCTCAAGGTGAGCGCTCTACCACTTTAGCCACAGCACCACTTCTGGTTTTCTGGTGGTTCATGGGAGATAAGAATCTCATGGACTTTCCTACCCTGGCTGGCTTTGAATTGCAATCCTCAGATCTCAGCCTCCTGAGTAGCTAGGTTTACAGGCGTGAGCCACTGCTGCCCAGCTCACTTCCAGTTTTTGAGTGGTTATAGAGATAAGAATCTTACGGGGACTTTTCTGCCTGGGCTGGCTTTGAACTGCGATCCTCAGATCTCAGCCTCCTGAGTAGCTGGGATTAAGGGCTTGACCTACTTGTGCCCAGCTCAAATTCTTTACTGCTACTACAATGTCATAAACTCAGGGCCCAGGGGCTGGAGCAAGGCCTCCTCTCCTTTAAAATTTCATTCAAAATGATTTTTTTTGTGCCAGTCCTGGGTCTTTAGCCCAGGGCTTGGGCGCTGTCCCTGAGCTGCTTTTGCTCAAGGCTAGCACTCTCCCACTTGAGCCACAGCACCACTTCTGGCATTTTCTGTGTATGTGGTACTGAGGAATTGAACCCAGGGCTTCATGCATCCTAGGCAAGCACTCTACCACTGAGCCACCTTCCCAGCCCCTAAAATGAAATTTTGAATGTAGTTCCGGGCCTCCCGGGCCACGGTTAGTGCTCAGAAGCCGCCCATGCACTTGTAGGGCTAGGCCACTCCCATTGTGGTTCTACGGGACAGTACCACCCTCTCTCTGCTGGACCAGCTTCTGCCCGCCCTGCAGGGTTGCTGGGCCTGGTCTGTGCCCGGGGCCCCCGTGAACCCGCCCTTGCCCGGCACTGTGGCTGGTATCCAGCATTTGGTGATGGCTCCTGCCCAGCTCCTAGCGTCCACCAGGGTCTGTACAGCACAGCTGAGGCCGTTCGTGGCCCTTTGCAGCTCTTCTCTGTTTGCTGCCTGGGCGTCTGACCTCATCCTGGCCGGAAATAGCTGCGGCTGGAGGCTGCAGGGAGACGAGGCTGTGGGCTAGGAGGTGGCACTGCAGCGAGCACACTGTCCCTCCCCAGGCCCAGGCCGCACTGTCCCTCCCCAGGCCCAGGCCGCACTGTCCCTCCCCAGGCCCAGGCCGGCCAGGAGCCGGGTGCCACAGCACCTACACTCAGCAGCGCTGGGGCTTGTCCAGTGGCAGCAGAGAGCGTTGCGTGTTCTCCGCGCTGGTCCTCCGCTGGAACCTCCCGGAATGCTGAGCCGGCATTCCTTAAGTGCTCCCTCCAATAACCACTATTGGACACTGTTTGGGGGGAAACCCAGCCTGACCTGATCGTGCGGCCCTCGCCCCCTTTATTTCTCTTATTCTATTCACTCAGCAGGTGGCATTGTTGTGTGGTGATTTTATGTCCCTGCCTGGGTTCATCCACCATGCCACATGCAAACTAGTCTATGATGAATGCAGGTAAAACGAATTCCTCCAGCTCATCTGGGTTGGCTGTGGTGCCTTTGCCAACGCCCTCCCCTGCCAAAACCATCTGCGAGCTTGGCTGCTGCCGGCCGGCGTGGCCCCCCCCCGCCCCCGGGCCACCGTGCTCTTCGGTTATCTGTGTGGTGAGCAGGATCGCACACGCACAAGTCTGGCCTCCTTCCCACTGTGTGCTGCTCGGCTCCGCCCCCGCGTGCCCGGGGAGGCTGCGGAACTCGGTGACTCCCAGGTGTTCACGCCTGCCTTTCCAGACCCCACGTGACCTCAGCCTCCTGTCCCCGGTGCCTCCTCCTCCGCCGTTCTCCTGGGAGAGGAGCTCCATCTCAGCACTCCAGCTGCGCTCATTGGTGGACTCCAGTGAGGTGACAGCTGTGCTCAGTAGCATCCTTCCTCATCTAAGTCAGGTGACGCCTTCTGGAATGTTCCTAAGTCATACCACCTTCTCGCTGATCAGGAGACTTGACTAAAGGTAAGGACTTGCCCATGGTGACCTGCTTCCTGCAACCACACCTCTCCCTCCACAGCTCCACTGCCTCCCAATTGTCCATTCAAAACACAACGTGAGCCTCGCTGGCACCTAGAAGGTTGGGTGGCTGTACCCCATCATGGGTCATAGTGGGGACAGGGAGGGGGCGTGGCCAGTGCTCACTGAGGACACGGGAAGGGGGCCTGGGCAGCCCCCGCTGCTCCTGCAAGACCTGAGTCTGGGGAAGAGAGCCATCATTTCAGACGCTGGACTGCAGGAGAGAAAGAGGCAGGGAAGGGGAAGGAAGCGAGTGAGCCAGCAGGCGTGAGGACTCTGGCTCACCTGTGGCCCTGGGATCCCCAGCGGGCATAAACACCTGCCGGGGAGACAGCGTCCACGGCTCACAGTTTAGAGCCCTCAAGGAGTGAGGGGGGCCTGTGGCTCATGCCTGTCATCCTAGCTACTCAGGAGGCTGAGATCTGAGGATCACAGTTCAAAGCCAGCTCGAGTAGGAAAGTCCGTGAGACTCTTATCTCCAATTAACCACTAGAAAACTGGAAGTGGCGCTGTGGCTTAAGTGGTAGAGCACTGACCTTGGGCTGAAAAGCTGAGGGACAGTGCCCAGGCCCAGAGTTCAAGCCCCATGACCGACAGAAAAAAAAAAAAAAAAAAAAGCTAAGCAAGAACATGAAGGTCTGAGTTCAAGCCCAGTGCTGATACCTGGGTCCACACACGCACAACACACACCCCAAAAAAGTGAGGAAAGAGCGCGATCTTTTTTCTATTTATTCTTGGCCTGGAGGTCCTTGAATACTTCCTATCTGCTTGATCACGTTCTTGCGCTGGGCGTTGCCTGCTGCCGACCCTGTTCATCACGGTGCTGGGCACGGCTCTCAGACACCAGACCAAGTCCTCAGCTTCGCCTCTATGCTGGCTTCCTGACCAAAGTGCAGCAGGTGAGGCTGGGCTGGCGAGCTGGGCTGGGGCCAAGGGCTTCCTCCGTCCACTGTCTCTTGTTCTGCTCTGCAAAGCAAGCAGTTTGCCACACAGGAAGGGAGGGAGGGTGGAAGAGGGATAGGGAGGGAGGGAGGGAAGGGGAGAGGGGGGAGGGAAGCAGGGAGGCAGGCTGATCAACCGCCCTGGGGTTCAGAGGAGATGGGTGCTGAGGCTGGGGAGTCACGTCAGCGCTCTTCGCCAGGGCTCCTGGAGGAGGACGCTTCACCTGAAGGCGTCTGGCTTGCGAGGAGGTAAGGGACGGCCTTTCTCCGGAGGGACAGGATCGCCTTCCGTTTCTTTCCCGAACCCAAAGTCAGGTCTTTACAATTACATGGTGGTTAGCCAGGCGCTGGTGGCTCACACCTGTAATCCTAGCTACTTGGGAGGCCTGGGAGGAAAGTCTGTGAGACTCTGACTTCTAATTAAACAGCAAAAAGCCAGAAGTAGAGCTATGGTTCAAGTGGTGGAGTGCCAGCCTGGAGGGAAAAAGCTAAGGGACAGCACCCTGGCCCTGAGTTCAAGCCCGAGTACCAACACACACACACACACACACACACACACACACACACACACACACACACACTACGTGATTAAAAGTGAAGGGACAAAGGGTCAGGGTGCTGGGCTTTTGCATCCATGCCCAGGGTAGACTGAGGCCTGGTCAAGTTGTTGGATGTGTGTGTTGGAGCTGGACTGGCCCGGGGCCTGGGGCCTGAGCCCAACCTGGCAGCCCACGAGAGGTGATCACCCACGCCACCCCCAGCATCCCCCAAGAGCAAGACCGGGTGCCAGGCTCCTAGGCTGCGGCTCCCACCAGACCTCCTGGACCTTTGTGTTTGAGCTCTTTGGGAGTCAACACGTGGGCGACCCCAATGACAGGGCCACGGGTCAGCTACCGCCTGCAGTCAGTGGGTGCTGGCGGGGGGGGGGGGGCGGGGGGCGAGGGTCTCCGGGCAGAGCACAGCCCTGCGGGCCAGCTGGGGTTTCCCTCATCACGTCACAGCGCCCCCCGCAGGCCCCAGCCTGGAGCCCACTCCAGATGGTCTGATATTGTGAACGGTCTTCTATCTTTCAGGTTTTGGCAGTGCCGACCAGGCAGGCATTCGGCCCCTCCGGCCCCAGCTGCGGTCCGTTTCTGCTTTAATTCGCTTTCAGATTGTTGTTGTCTGGGATTAGCCTTATCCTGAGATCCTGCTCCTGCGCTGCCCGTGCGCTGGGGTCCCAGCTCACACTGCCGTGCCGGGAGGCGGGGCGCCCCTCAGCCCCTGGTTTCTCTGCCTGGCCTGGCGTTGAACCGGGCCCTTCATCATCATCATCATCATCATCTTTCAGTCGTTGTACAAAGAAGTTCCCATTCTACAAAAAAGTGTATGAGGACAAAGTGTCTGACAGCATGGCCACCCATCTCCCCTAACTGACTTCCTAGGTGATTGCGTACATTTCACATATTTCTCAGTGTTGTGAGATAGTGATGGTTCGTTACGGCCACACACACACATTTTAACCTTCACAAGGCAGATTGTCATTATCGTGGTCTGTACCGTTTGTGAATTCTACGAGCTGTGACAATACAAGTTATTTTTCCACATCAGGTGATCTTCACATTTCTTTTGCTCAGTGTGGGCTGTTCCCACACTTATTCTATCCTCCTCCTGCCTTCCCTCCTTTGCGTGCATAGATCTACCATATATATATAATATGGTCAAGAGCATGGAGTCCTTTAGCAACGGTAGGTAGAATGAGTGCTGTCCTGTTTCTGAGTTGAGCCGGGGTCCTTCTGATCTCTGCTTCCTGTGTGGCGGAGATGGCAGGTGCTTGCTACCACTGCTTCAGCGGTTTCTTTCCGTCTTCCCGTCTCAGCCTTCGCTCCCCCACTCCCCCTGGCATCTGCCGGAAGCGCCCTGCCTCTGTCACTGGCTAGAACCCCTGGCATGCTTTGCCACCCAGTTCGAATGCTGACCTGCTGCCCAAGTGTGCAGGCAGACACCTGCAGAGCCTCTGCTTCTCGGGCGTCTCTTGCCCTGTACCTCCTAACCAACTAGCCGCCTGGCGTCCCACGCGGACCTGCTCTGACGTTCCTGGCCGGGAGTTCGTGCCCTGTTGTCCCCTGTGTTGTCCTTGTAGCTCAGGTTCTTCCTTGGTTTAGCACGGGGAAAGCTCTGGAAACACAGATGGAGGCAGGGGACACCTCCCAGCCCCTGCTCCTCCCTCAGCCTGGAACCTTCACTTCCCAGCCCCCTCCAAGGGAAGACTCCTCTGGCTGGTTTTGGCTCAAATGTCATCTCCTCAAGTTCCTCCTGCTTGTTTTCTTGTTCTTTCACATTGCTAATTACCACCCACCCTTGTACTGGGTTATTTAACTTTTAATCCTGTTTTATAATGGCTTACTTCCTGGTGAGTGCAACCCCTGAGAGCCGGGACTTAGCCCGGGCTACTGGTGGGCGTCCGCACAGCTGTGGCGCCAGGACAGAGGTGGCAGAATGCACCCCCGTGGGACCGCGAAGGGCGCTTCCTGTCCTGGCACTGGGCTGGGCTCCTCAGCTGCGTCTGCTGCTCTTGGCACTCAGCAAGTGCTCAGTAAACGCTTGCTGCAAACAAGAATGACGGTCACACACCATCGTCTGGCCCTGCCCTTCTCACGGAAGTTCCCAGGGCAGGGCCCCCTGGCCTTTAAGTTTGTCTTCATGTCTTTCCAAGCTACTACCTTCGGTGGAGGAATTAATGTGCTTTCTGGAAGCTCATTACCAGATTGCTTTTAAGTTTAAAGAGTGTATCAGGTCTCTGAAGCTCAGTAAATGTCTTTTAAGTCACAGAAAAAAGATTCGCACTTCTGAAGGAGTTGTCTGGTCTGGGCTGCAGCCTTTGGGGTGGGAGGAAAGGGGGTGAGCTGAGGGTGGAAGACGGGGGGGGGGGGGAGAGTAGGGGCCAGCTGGAGGGGGGGAGGGAGGGCGAGGGAGGGCTGAGTTGGACAGCCGGACAGCTGGGCCAGGCCTGGACAGCCAGAACAACAGTAGAGCTGTCCTGGACCTCAGATGTGTGGAAAAGGAACAACTTTGGGGCTGGGAAGGTGGTTCGGTGGTAGAGTACTTGCCTTGCCCGCATGAGGCCCTGGGTTCAATTCCTCAGCACCACATAAGCAGAAAAAGCTGGAAGTGGTGCTGTCAAGTGGTAGAGTGCTCGCCTTGAGCTGAAGAGCTGAGCGACAGCGCCCAGGCCCAGGGTTCTGGCCCCATGGCTGGCAAATAAAAATAAAATTTAAAAATAAATAAATAAAGCAACAACTCTGAAGGAGGAGATGGGTTCAGACTTGATTTTTTTTAAGATTATGGTAAAATGTCCTTAACCATTTCTTCAAAGCACATAGTTCAATACAGAGCATTGTTGGGCAACCAACTTAGAACTGTTTTTATCTTTTTGTATGTGTTCTGTTACCTAAAAAAGAACAAACACTTGCACTTGAATTCAGGGCCCGAGGGCTATCCCTTGATTCTGCCCCTGCAGGCTGGCACACTACCACACCAGTCACAGCTTTACCTCTGGCTCTTTTGCTGCTTCATTGGAGCTAAGGGCATCACAGACTTTCCTAGTGCTCAGAGCAGGGAATGTAAGTGTATCCATCATTTATTCCTGGGCTTTTCCAGGTGTTTTGGGCTCTGGTCAGCTAGAACGGTTGGAGGCGATGCTGCGGATGAAGGCGGGACCTCTGTGCTCTGGGTGTCAGGGACTTGCACGGTGGGACTCGGGTGTTTCCCAGAGCCTGTCCTTGGGGTCCCTCCGCGTTGTGGCCAGCACCCATATCAATAATCCACTGCAGCCCAGTGCCGGTGGCTCACGCCTGTAATCCTAGCTACTCAGGAGGCTGAGATCTGAGGATCACGGTTCAAAGCCAACCTGGGCAGGAAAGTCCGTGAGACTCTTTTTTGGGGGGAGAGGGGTCTGGTTGTGGGGCCTGAACTCTGGGCCTGGGTGCTGTCCCTCAGCTCTTCAGCTCAAGGCTAGTGCTCTACCACTTGAGCCACAGTGCCACTTCCGGCTTTTTTCTTTTTGCTTATGTGGTGCTGAGGAATTGAACCCAGGGCCTCAGGCATGCAAGGCAAGCACTCTACCACTAAGCCACCTTCCCAGCCCCCCGTGAGACTCTTATCTCCAATAAACCACCAGAAAACTGGAAGTGGTGCCGTAGCTCAAGTGGTAGAGTGCTCACCTTGAGCTGAAGAGCTGAGGGACAGCGCCCACTGCAAGGATGGACCATGCTCCCTGCTGTCAGTGGACCCTTGTTATCAGTATACTCTTGCTTTAGTTGATGCTTGCTGTAGTGGACTCTTGCTGTCAGTGGACTCCTGCTGGAGTGGACTCCTGCTGTAGTGGACTCTTGCTGGAGTGGACTCTTGCTGTAGTGGACTCCTGCTGTAGTGGACTCTTGCTGTAGTGGACTCTTGCTGTAGTGGACTCTTGCTGTAGTGGACTCTTGCTGTAGTGGACTCCTGCTGTAGTGGACTCTTGCTGTAGTGGACTCTTGCTGTAGTGGACTCTTGCTCTCAGTGGACTCCTGCTGGAGTGGACTCCTGCTGTAGTGGACTCTTGCTGGAGTGGACTCTTGCTGTAGTGGACTCCTGCTGTAGTGGACTCTTGCTGTAGTGGACTCTTGCTGTAGTGGACTCTTGCTGTAGTGGACTCCTGCTGTAGTGGACTCTTGCTGTAGTGGACTCCTGCTGTAGTGGACTCTTGCTGTAGTGGACTCTTGCTGTAGTGGATGCTTGCTGTAGTGGACTCTTGCTGTAGTGGACTCCTGCTGTAGTGGACTCTTGCTGTAGTGGACTCTTGCTGTAGTGGACTCTTGCTCTCAGTGGACTCCTGCTGGAGTGGACTCCTGCTGTAGTGGACTCTTGCTGGAGTGGACTCTTGCTGTAGTGGACTCCTGCTGTAGTGGACTCTTGCTGTAGTGGACTCTTGCTGTAGTGGACTCTTGCTGTAGTGGACTCCTGCTGTAGTGGACTCTTGCTGTAGTGGACTCCTGCTGTAGTGGACTCTTGCTGTAGTGGACTCCTGCTGTAGTGGACTCCTGCTGTAGTGGACTCTTGCTGTAGTGGACTCCTGCTGTAGTGGACTCCTGCTGTAGTGGACTCCTGCTCTAGTGGACTCTTGCTGGAGTGGACTCCTGCTGTAGTGGACTCCTGCTGTAGTGGACTCCTGCTGTAGTGGACTCTTGCTGGAGTGGACTCTTGCTGTAGTGGACTCCTGCTGTAGTGGACTCTTGCTGTAGTGGACTCTTGCTGTAGTGGATGCTTGCTGTAGTGGACTCTTGCTGTAGTGGACTCCTGCTGTAGTGAACTCCTGCTGTAGTGGACTCCTGCTGTAGTGGACTCTTGCTGTAGTGGACTCTTGCTGTAGTGGATGCTTGCTGTAGTGGACTCTTGCTGTAGTGGACTCTTGCTGTAGTGGATGCTTGCTGTAGTGGACTCCTGCTGTAGTGGACTCTTGCTGTAGTGGACTCCTGCTGTAGTGGACTCCTGCTGTAGTGGACTCCTGCTGGAGTGGACTCTTGCTGGAGTGGACTCTTGCTGGAGTGGACTCCTGGTGTCAGTGGATTCTTTCTGTAGTGGACTCTTGCTGTAGTGGACTCCTGCTGTAGTGGACCCCTGCTGTAGTGGACCCCTGCTGTAGTGGACTCCTGCTGTAGTGGACTCTTACTGCAGTGGACTCTTGCTGTAGTGGACTCTTGCTGAGGACCGGTGCCGGCCCACAGCTGGACAGGGCCACCCCTGCAAGGTGGTTGAACGGATGGCTGCAGCGATGGGCTTAGAGGAGCAAAGCCTGCACTTCCTTCGGATGGAACACAGGGACATTTCCAACAGCAGCCCTGGCTCAGAAGGACAGCTGAGTCAATCTTGGAGATATTGGCTCTGCCCAAAGAAAGATTAGAGGGGCAGCACCCAACCTTTGACAGGAGATGCCTCCAATTGGCTGTTGCTCAATTGTTGTTGGCAGATAGGGTAGCAATTAAAAAAAAAAAAAAGTGAGGTGAACTTTGACGCTGAAAATCATCCTGTTGCACAACTCACACACAAGGAAGTGACCTCGTTGGTGAGAAAGAAGGACGGAGCCAGATCGCAGTCCTGTGGTCTTCACCCTGCTGGCATGCTTACTGCGGCTGCGCTACGGGTTCCGGCAGCGGCAGTGCCAGCCGCCCCCGATGGGCAGCGCCACGCCCCCATGGCGCAGCGACTTCACCCTCGGCTCCACAGCCCGCGTCTCCCAGCTGTCACCCGTCTCGCTTTGGCTCTTCCATGTGTCCTGACGCGCACAAAAGTCCAAACCACCTGTGCCAGGAGCGCCCGGGCACCCCTGAACCCCTGAACAGGCTAGCGCCCGACTCAGACGTTGTGATCCAAACTGTCCATGGCATGGGGAAGAGGAGCAGCAGGATGGGCTTCCGAGGGGAGGGGCTGAGGCCCCAGAGCAGGGCCCGCCCCGCGCTCTGAAGCAGGTCGCAGGGAGAGGCTCAAAGCAGCCTTGCGCCTGCCAACCCTGGAAGCAGCGCCAGGCCTGCGATACGGGTGGAGGAGACGGGGGGAGACAGAGGGAGCA